TAAATTAAAAACATAATACCATCCGGGCCGGGCTAGATACCCCTTATCTAGACCCGGAAATTCTTGCCGGTGAAGGTCTGCCCAAACTGCCAGCTTGCCGGCGCCGCGTTCCACGAGGTCGACTTCCGGCGGTCGCTGGCTGTGACCCGGAAGGACAGGGCCTGGCCCACCAGGACGCCGTTGGTCTGCCAGTTTTGGCCCCAGTTGCGGCTCATCGGCAGCCAGCCGGTGTTGGTGCCCTTGATGCTCACGCGCACGATGTCGCCGGCGCCGGCGACGTTGGTGACCAGGAGCAGGTTGAAGTAGCGGAAGCCGTTGAGCGTGAACCTGATTCCCCCCTTTTTCCGGCAAGGCACCCTGCCGGAAATTTGAAAAAAAAAGAAAAAAAAAGAGTAATGGTAAGTATTTCGTTTTATTTAATTTGTTGAATGACGGAGAAAACCGGCTGCAATGTTCTAGGCCGACCGGTAAATTCCGGTGGCCCCTTGTTGCTGCTTGCTTTTAACGTGATGCGCGTGGGACCCAGGGAGCGCGTGAGATTCCCTGAAGCTGAAGCACGCTTTCAATGCGTATTTCCCGGCAACTATTACCCAGGTGCGAGAATAACGGGAATGCCATCGGGTGCAAGAGATACTTTATTGACTATTATACCCCTATTATAACTAACGGACAAATACAATAACACCAACTCAAAGTCCACTTGATGTACAATAAGTCGAGTTTGAGCTTCTAATACTAAAAATCGCTAAAGGATACTAATGAATCAAACTTAATTTAACGAGTTAAATTATGTTAAAACTTATAAAATTACATAAAAAACCCCAACTTACAAATCCAACTAGCATTAAAAGTCCAATAGAATTTATAAGAAATTTGTTGCGTTTAACAACTCTATACCGAATTTGGATGTGCAAATTTAGGAAGTACTTTAAAGGGCATTTCAGTCATAAAAGAATCGAACAAAACTACCAAACTCATGAACACATCATTTCATTCGTTAAATAGATATACAACCTATTTTGATTGTGAAAATTAAAGGAAACCTAAAAAGGGCATTTTGGTAATAAAAGAGCCGAGTCGAACTCACAACACTCACAAAGAGCTCGTTCAGTGTAACAAATCCGCTACCCCGTTGTTGGATACGTTGAAAAGACAAAAATATCCACAGTGGAAATAGTTGGCAAGTAGCATTTAAAACAGTGAAGGTGGATAGCATGGGCTTTGTTAGTTAAAAAGACAGTGATGGTAAATACCAACAGATTTGCTCAACTAGCATAGTAAATTAAAAAATAAATATATAATTAAAGCACAGAAATAATAAGCAAATAAAAGCACCAAATAATTTGCAGCCAATTAAATGTTATCCAATATTTAAGAGAAATTAATTTAAGCGAAAAAAATGGAACAAATGAGAGGGAATATATATGTTTATCCATATAATTAACAGTATAAAGGACTAAAATACCCTCGACGAGAAAATCTTACCGGCGGAAGTTAACGGGGACGATGCCGGCGCGGTACTCTGCTATCTTGAGGAACATGGGCATTGCGAGGTCGAAGTGCGGCCGGGGCGGGTTGCACCACCCGCCATGGTCGCTGGGCAGCGCGAGGTTGGGCGGGCAGAAGTTGGTGGCGGTGATGAGGATGGACGGGCCGCCGGCGTTGCACCACTTGCCGCCCTGCGCCGCATCGCACTTGAGCTCGAAGCAGGCGCCGCAGCTAAGCCCGTTGTTGAACAGAGCCGTGCTCAGCGCTGCCGTGTTCACGCCGTACCCCTGGCTGTACAAGTTCCCGTACCCGCACGCGCCGCCTGTACATTTGGGGAAAAAGGAACGGAAAACGAAGGTCAGCGATTACGGGATTAGGGGATTTTTCGATCGATTAGGGTTACGTACCCATGGTGCCGGAGGCGTCGCTGCCGCCGTAGAAGGTGGCGTGAGCGGTTTTCCAGGAGCCGCCGGAGTAGACGCCGGGGATTCTGGCCTGAGATACCGTGAGGAAGCAGAGGGCGGCGGCTAGGCGGAGGAGCAGCTTCGCCGGAGCACACATTTTGCTTCTCTTTCTCGATTACTCTCTCTATGGACTGTGGCTTTGAGTTTTAGAGAGAGCAAACAAAAATGGAATTTCGGAGCGAATGGAAAACGAGAAGAAGGTGAAGGGGCTATTTATGGAGGAAGGGCGGGGCTCCGATTTTACTTCCGACCCGCAATTGGAAACGGTGCCGTTTTGGCTGAATATGAATTAGGAAATTGGGCGCTAATTTAGTGAAAGGCAAAAGGGGATAACTACATTGATATATTTGATTATCATTAATTGATATTAGCTGCCATTGTGATTTGGAAAATTGCATTTGAAAGCTCAAATCTGAAATTAAGAGATGACATTTATGAAATTTGATTTTTTTTTTTGTAAGGTTTAAGATTTAAATCTACAAACATTTGTTGTAATTTTTTCATTATTGGATCAACAATTCAACACACGTACTTTACACAAATTTGTTATTCTATCGAGTTATTTAATGTTTGATCGACAATTTTACATACATAGCCATACAATATATAAGGATTTATCAATGAAAAAGTCGATAATCGCATAGGGTGACATCCATTTTTTTATGTTAACCGACTTAATTATTAGGTTGGCTTAACATTATTACACATTCATCCAAAAAATTCATACTTCAAAAAATAAATTAAAAACATATACTGATTTATGTATTTTTTTATAAACAATATGATGATACGAGATGAGACGAGTCGCCTAATAATTATATTAACTCATATTTTTTTTGTTTTTAATTCATCCCAACTCCCAAGTAGAGATAATGTGCACTTAAAAGCAAATTTTAGAAATTAATGGTGGTTAATCAATATTAGGTACTTGTTTCCACCTAAATCAACATTTTGATATCACATGCATATATAAATATATATATATATATATAGGGATTGGTTCTAATTCATCCGTTTATTTAAAGTGAGGACGTGAGACTCATTCCTAGCCACAAGATTTAGATCTTGATTTAAATAATAATTTTTTATTTATACTATTTAATTCTTTATTTTTAATTATTTAAATATTATTATGACCATTAACTGTTGACTCCGGCGTTGATCGTTGACCATTTGTCTTTTGTTGTCATGTTATTTCTTTCTTGCTAGGTTAGTTATGTTTTGTTGCTAGGTTAGTTGTTTGTTGTTGTTAGGTTAGTTGAGTTTTGTTGCTAGGTTAGTTGTCTTAAGTTGCTAGGTTATTTTTTTTCTTGCTGCTAGGTTAGTTGTCTTTTGTTGTTAGGTTAGTTCTTTCTTACTACTATGTTAGTTGTCTGATGCTGCTAGGTTAGTTGTCTTTTGTTGCCAGGTTATTTCTTTCTTGCTGGTAAGTTAGTTGTCTTTTGTTGCTAGGTTAGTTATCTGTAGCTGCTAAGTTAATTGTGTTTTGTTGCTAGGTTAGTTGTCTAAAGTTGATAGGTTATTTATTTCTTGCTGCTAGGTTAGTTGCCTTTTGTTGCTTCTTTCTTGCTGCTAGGTTAGTTGTTTGATGCTGCTAGGTTAGTTATCTTTTGTTGATAGGTTATTTCTTTTTTGTTGCCACGTTAGTTTTCTGTAGTTGCTAGGTTAGTTCTTTGTAGTGGTTAAGTTAGTAGTTGCTAGGTTAGTTCTCTGTAGTTGCTAGGTTAGTAGTAGTTAGGTTAATTGTCTGTAGTTATTAGATTAGTTTTCTGTAGTTGTTAGGTTAGTTGTCTGTAGTTGTTAAGACCTGGTCTATTTTAAGAGCTGGTCTCATTTGATCCGCCTCTGTATATATATATTCAAATTGTTATTATTTGATTCGGGAAACAAATTTACCGATAACTTAGGAACAAGTGGGCCAAGGAAAAAAATAAATAAATTTTAATCATTTAAGGGGACATAATAATTGTTAAATAGAGGGTCCATTTTGTGCCAAAAAGTGACCTTAAGTAGTTATATACAATTAAGTGCTCCATTTCATGCTTGACCTGGAATTTTGATCGTTCACCTCAACTGTTGATTAATTACTTTTGGGCCCATTAATCTTTATCTCACGAGTCACGACCAATCCAATGACCAAATGCGCATGACAAAACGTAAGACCGTTTAAAGTGTGTGTGTGTGTTTGTTTGTTTTTTTAATATTATTTTTCTATATCATTCTAATTTTCATGTTATTTGTCAATATAATAATATTTTGTAGGTATAAGGTTATATTTCGGTTATTCACACCAAGTGTCGCAACATTGGCTGAAATCAGAGTAGTAATGTGAACCGTTTTCTTTTTTGGCATTATTTGAGAATTCTATAGATATTTATATATAAAAAACTATATCTAGCATTTTGAAATTTTTACCATCTTATGTTAACAATATTTTATAAAATCAAATCAGTTACAACTAAGGAAGACAAATCTATAAAGTTTGGTATTTACCTGAAATAAAAAACTAAAATTTCGCCTAAAATTTTAAAATTATTAAAATAAGTATTTTTTTTTAGATTCATAATATCCTGCCTAAATGTGTTTTGAAAATTATTGGAAAAAAAAAATCAAACATTTAAAAGAAGCAATCCCACAAAGATTTTTTTTTTTTTGGATACATTTTATCCCACCTAAATGTGATTTGTAATGTATAATAAGTGGAATATTAGAAATATTAAGATTTATCGCCAAAAAAATCATTGCTTAAATAAGAATTTTTTTTAAACATTCCTTTCTACTTTCCTTTTGTAAAATTTTCTTTAGAATGTGTGACTTTTATTTTTATTTTAGATAATGTGATATCAATAATTGATCTAAATCTATTGATTAACTTTCTAAAAATTTTCTATCAATTATTATTTTATATCTAAACTATTTTAAATTTATTTTAGTGATGTGATATAAAAAATTTGAGATTAAACTTAAAAAATTATAATTAATTATTTAATTTTCACTTGATCTAAACTTCTATTTGATTTAAAAATATAAATTAACGAATATGGTTTTAGATTACTCACTCTAAAAATAATTATTAGTAAATTATGCGGTACGCGCATGTGAAACGCACCATAACAGGGTGAGCCTATATGCACAATAGTGAGGTTACATCCCAAAACCAATTGGTGGAATTAGTGACCCACTAGGTTTATAAGTTGCGCTTATTTTCTTTGTATAAACATTGTGGGAAAACTCACAAGTGGTATTCTATTATAATATATATGAAAATTTCTGAAACGCATAGATGAGAAAATTCCTAACTATGATTTTTTTCCATATTGTTTTCTGACTTTTTTTTCTTTCTTTTCCGAATTTCTTATTATATTGCCATTTTTTAAAAGCTTAATAATATTTTTATTTATTATCCATTATTTATATATCATATTATATTAATTTTCATTTTTCGATCTTCAATTTGACACTCATATTGTATGTATAAATGAAAAATAATAATTAATCTTGTAAGTATTAATGAGTTTATTATGAATTAATATTACATAGAAAAAACAAACTTGAAATTTATTATTTAATATTGTTTTAAAAGATAAAAAAATAGTCTCAAGTTATTCATATAATACAATATAAATGTATCTATAATGAAATGTATTTAATATAAAATAATCTAAATTAGTAATTAGCATGTTTATCATTCACGGGTTTAAAAATTTAATTCTAAAAAAATAAAAATATAAGTAAAATTTATTTCAAATATCAAGTACATACAATATTAAAATAAAAAACCAATGGGTCATTCGTCGAGCTACCACGTAAATTACTAAATTATTTGTTATATTTTATGATAAACGAGTGAGTCAACTATCAAATTGTAATAGTAAGTTATAAATTTAGAGAGATAAAAATTAAATACGTATAATATATATTTCATAAACTATAATGACAAACCAACAGATTATTTGTCAAACATGTAAATTATTGACTTAGAAAGAAATAAATATATATATATATATATGTATAATGTTATAAACTATAATAATAAATCAACAAGTCATCTGTTGAACGATGATTTAAATTATTAGCTTAAAATTCATAGTTCTTATAATGTATATATCATTATGTGTCGAATTGTCGTATGATTTTTTAAACTGGAAATAAAATTTAAACTATTTATAACATACCTTATTAAATTACAAAATATTAAGTTGTCACCTGTCGGTTTATATTATTTGTCATAATTTCTCAACTCTACCATAATTTATTTATAAATTAAAATATATTTTAATAAGATATAAATAAGAGAAGGGAGAGAAAAGTATTTTTGTGAGCATTATTTATGAATAACATTTTATTATGTTAACTTTTCATCTTTCTCAATTCTAAAAACTCTAAAATGGAAGTTGTTTTATAACAGGTGAAATAAGCATATAAATCATATATTAAATTATTTCATATCATAAATATAAAATAAAGTATAAAAATAATAGTAGTATTCAAAACTATTCTTATACTAATAAATATTCCTTATTTGCTTTACTTTAAAATTTATCATTATTATTTTGAGATCGCACAGACTATGTACTAGTACTAAGTACTAACTATAGAAATAATAGTACAAAACTAATTATATTAATGGGATAAGTGATTAACAAAATTATTATTATTATTATTATTATTATTATTATTATTATTATTATTATAAGTATCATTATTATTATTGTTATTATTTTCTAAAAAGACTGAACATCATTGAGTTACAATCATAATTAATTAATGGCTTTAAATGGGTAAGGTCTCTATTCCTTTCCAATTTAATTAACTCACTTTTTATTGGTTGTTTTAGCCTGTAATAGTAATTAATGAATTAATTTCATGAAACAAGTCAAACTCACGTACATAAAAATAGTACCGACAAGAGTAAATTCGGCATCCAACATGATTTATTTCTAATAACAGCGACAAAAAATAAATAAATAAATAAATAAAAATAAAAAAAGAGAATAATATCCATATCCTATTTGAGCATAATACATAAATAATAAGATATATATTTTACCTTGTTCTGCACTTAAA